CTGATAAGACTGGGAACAGTTCTAGTTTAAAGCTTGCTAAGGTCCTTCCTTATCTAGATTGGGTGAAGAACAGAGACACTGGATACCTATAGATTTTGTTAGAAAAAATAATTAAATATGAATGTCAAAAATTTAAGAGTATCATAAAAGAGAATATCTAACTAAGAAACGTAATTTATCCTCAAGGAAATGTAAATAAAGCCACAATGAGATACTACCATCACCATTCAAAATGCCTAAAATGAAAAAGACAGAAAATAATCGAGGCAGAGTAACCTGAATTTTTATCACTGCTGGTGGGAATGTAATTTGGTACAATACCTTGGAAAACTGTTTGGCACTATCTATTAAAGTTGAACATATGCATACCCTATGACCTAGCAATTCAACTCTTAGGAATATATCCAACTGAAGTGCATAAAAATGTTCACAAAAACGTGCTAGAATGTTTATAGCAGCACTGTTTGAGATAGCAAAAAACTGGAAACTGCCCAAATGTCCATCAACAGTTGAATGGATAAGTAAAAAGCTGAATGGATTATTCTAAAGCAATGGGAAAGAATAAGTTACAAGCATGCACAACAAAATGGATAAATTTTATAAGGATAATGTTGGGCAAAAGAAGCCAGACACAAAATTCAAACACAAGCTTCAGGGAAACTTCTGGGATGCTGGTAATATTCTGCTTCTTGATCTGGGTGCTGGTTATATAGGTGTGTTCAGTAATGACAAAGCTGAGCATTTATGATTTATGAATAAACTAGACCTATATATATCAACATGAATAGAACTGAAAAACAATGTTCAGTGAAAACCCAAGTTCCATAAATTTATAATCAATGATTGCGATTATGGACTGATTCCATTTATATACACCAAAAAAACTCACAAAAATATTATATTTTTTATAATTTAACTACAATAAAAGTATTAAAATACATCAAATTCATGACATTAGTTGCCTCTGGGGAGGAAATGAGGGGAATGGAACTGCGGATGGAAATATAAACTTTGACTTTACAACGTTTTATTCTTAAAAAAAAAAAAAAAAACTAAAAAGCTGAAGCTTATATAGCCAAAAAATGTTTATTTAGGAGGAGATTAAATACGTGTTATGTTTGTACTTTTCTCTTTACCTGGTTTTATCAAATATTTAAAAAATGTAAAAACAGCATGATCTCAATTTTGTAAAAAAAAAAAAAAAAGGAAGAAAAGAAAAAGAAACACTTGTATAAGGAAAAAATCAATACTAGTTATTTCTAGGGTAAAAGCTTAGAGGAAAAATTTTCCACTCTAGACTTTTCTGTATATTAAAATTTTCTATTACAAATATCTATAACTTAGAAATTCAGGAAAAAAAGTTTTTTTGAGCTTTAAATGTTATTCCTGAATCCTTTACTTAAATGCTACGAGTCTTCTTGTAGCACCTTCTCTATTTTTATCACTGTGTTTATAGCTCACTTATCTTCTTCCTCCTGAGCATCTCTGACCTCTGCCCTGTCCTCCCAGCCCCTTTTTAAATTATTCATCAGGGTAGAAAATAGGTATGATCAGTACGCCATTCCAGCCCCTGGTTTAAGTGGGTTACTTACATCTCGGGGGAGTTCCAAAATGGGGTGTTAAGAATCTGAAAGTTCCCAAACCACTGTACTAAGGAAAAGGCAAATTACACATTTGCTAATAACTTCAACAAGTCACAATTTCCTCTTTAAATCAGTCTGTAAAATGAGAAGGCTTGACTGTGACCACTAAGGCTCCCTCCCACTCTGAAGGTTCAGTCAATATTTATTATAAAGCAACATATATAGAGCTAGTATTTTCACTTTCTTGACCCTGCCCTAAACTATCCTATCTAAAGTAATGACTCCTGTTTCACTGACTTTAATAACCACTATAATAAACAGTCTTCTTTACTTACTGGTTTATTATCTGATTATCTGTCGTCCTCCACTAGAAGATAATTCTTAATCACTATGGTATCCTCAGAGTTTGGAACAATGACAGGTTATTCAAGAAATGATAGCATGTTCAGTGAATGAATTACAGGTACCATGATAGATGCTAATATTACAAAAATGAGTAGTATAATGCTCTTCTCTTCAAGAAGCTTGTTGTTTACTAGGGAAGACATACATGCACAAAAAAGAGGTGCAATAAAAATATTCTAGGTGTTATAATGAAGAAATAAGTACAAATACAGACATAGGAAGATAACCCACTACACACCAAACCTGTGGCCATCAAGTCGATTTCCAACTCATAGTGCCCCATGGGGTTTTCAACAGGAGGCTGGTGGATTTGAACTATTGACACCTAAGGTTAGCAGCCAAGCTCTTAACCACTGCGCCATCAGGGCACCATAGGAACATAGGGGAAAGTTAAAAAGAAAAGGCTCTTTAATTCAGTTACATATAGCCTGAAAACTTTCTATTGCCAAACCCTTGCCAAGAACTGGTGATTAAAAGACAAGTAACATATGATGATGGAGCTTACAGTCTGGAAGGGAACAAAGTATTCAAATGATATGTTTATAAACATATTCTATAATAAAATACAATATGATAATGACTTGCTAATGGTACTAAGATAACAGAGGCAGTTTGACCCAGTGCAGACACAGTTTCCTAGAGATGACACGTGAGCTGAGTCATGGAGAGTAAGTAAGAGACTGCTAGCCAAAAAGACTGTCTTAAACCTAGTTATGATTTTCCCATCTTAAAAAAAGCAAACAAAACTCTCTCTTTGGCCACAGCACTCTCCAGTTTACAATCTACCTTTTTCCTACCATTCACAGCCAAAATTCTTAAAATGAAATGCCTACTTCCTCACAACTTCTATTTTTAAGGTTATTAGTAACTTCATTAACACTAAATCCAAAGGTCACTATTGACCTTTCACTCCTTGAAATGCCTTGCCTTGGCATCTGCGACCTAAATTCACTTGGTTTTCCTCCCATTACTCTGTCTATAGCTGTTTATACAGATTGCCTTTGTAGGTCACCCTTTCTCGGCATATTCTTTAACTTAAATATTAATTAAACCAGAATTAGTAGGTATTTATACCAGGAGAGTTTTCAGATTATTTTTTTGCAAGGCTTCCAGAACTACAAGTCCTGCTTTATTTTCTGAGTATTCACAAATTACCTATTTATTATACTCTCCTAGAATTTTGCTGGATTTCAGCCTCAGGCTTATGATTTCTGTAAGTGGTTTAGTCCAATTTAACAAACACCATTATACACCAAATATGTATAAAACACTGTGTGGGGCACAAAGGGAAGAGAATGAAAGCTACTTAAATAAGAATGAATCCATCCTATGAAGGTTTAAAAATCTATAATGAAATCTAAGCAGGGCTGATATGCAACAAAAAAGTATGATGATATTGTTTATAGTTGGTGTCTGCTCTGATTAGGTATAAGGCTAATTGGATCTGTGAGCTTGGAAAAATTGGTTAATATGTTGGTTGGATTTCAAAGTTCTCATCTGAATTATACTATCCATCTCACAGAATTCCAGTAAAGATATAAGATAATTTTGTAATAAATTAATAGCATAATAAATGGAAAGACATCTTAAAATTAACATGCATATACCAGGCCATAAATTAATTCTCAACATATTTTATAAAATCATTACTATACATACCACATTCTCTGACAACACAATTTCCAAGTTAATAACAAAAATATACCCTAAAAAATGCTTCCATAATTCTGGAAATTTAAAATTATACTTAAATAACTCATGCATTAATGGAGAAATCAACGGAAATTAGAAAATAAATAGAATTAAACAATAATAAAAGTATTATGTATAAATGTTTGCAGGAATGAATCTGGACCCAAATTTAGAGAAACATATAGACTTAAATGCATATATTAGAAAGGAAGGCTGAAAAATAATGAGCTTAGCATCTAAATGACAAGTTGAGAAAGACCAACAAAATAAACCCAAAGAAAGCAGAGGAGAGAGTTAATAAAGAGCAGATATTAATGAAAGAAAAATTAAGATCCTTGGTAAAGACTAATAAAAATGACAAATCTCTGATAAGACTAATCAAATGAAAAATAATTGAAAGCAGGTACAGACACTTGTACACCAATGTTTACTGCAGCACTATTCACAATAGCCAAAAGGTGGAAACAGCCTAAATGTCCACCAACAGACGAACGGATAAACGAAATGTGGTACATACATACAATGGACTATTACTCAGCCATAAAGAGAAACGAAGTCCTGATATACGCTATAATATGGATGAATCTTGAAAACATTATGCTGAGTGAATTAAGTCAGTCAAAAAGGGACAAACATTGTCTACGAATCCACTTACAGGAAATATCTAGGATAGGCAAGTGTTTAGAGACCAATGTTTATTAGTGGTTACCAGGGTGGGGTGGGAGGGAAGGAAAAGACAGGCTCATTGCATAGGGCACACAGAGCTTCTGTTAAGGGTAATGGGAAAATTTAGAAACAGATAATGGTAATGGTTGAACAACATGATGAAAATAACTAATGTCACTGAATTGCACACATGAAGAATGTTGAAAAGGCAAATGATTTGTTACACATATATTTAACACAATAAAAAAAGTTTAAAAAATTGAAGACAAAAAATATTAAAAATGAAGAAAATAATTACAGATACAGTAGACATTAAAATAAGAAAATACTTTGAACAAATTTATGTTAACATATTTTTAAAACTTATACAAAATGATATATACCTAAAAATGACTTACAAAAAAATGACTCAAGTAATAGAAAACCTAAATGACTATGTAGCCATTAAATTGAATCTGTAGTTATAAAATTTCCCCCAAAGAAAAAAGCAGACCCCAAAAACTTTACAATTTCTACTGTATACCCATGATTCAAGTATATCTTATCTTATACAAGCTCTTCCAGAGAATAAAGAGATTCCTGGCTGTTTGTCCAAATACATTTTCCTCTTCTTGCCAGGCAAAAAGCTAGACTACATTTCCCAGCTTCCCATACCATTAGGTGAAGCCATGTGACTGAGTTCTAACCAATGGAATTTGAGTGGAAGTGATGTCATAAAAACCTCTCAAGCACCTTTCTCCATGTTCCTTCTCTTGGACTTGGCTAACTTAGATGGAGATGATCCCCAGGGAAACTTTGGAAGCCATGTGTCTACAACCACTGAATCTGACACATTTATAGCACACTCATCCAACAACAGCAGAATGTACATTCTTTTTTTTTATATTGTACTTTAGGTGAAGGTTTACAGAACAAATAGTTTCTCATTAAACAGTCAGTACAAATACTGTTTTATGACATTGGTTAACAACCCCATGACGTGTCAACACTCTCCCTTCTTGACCTTGGAAGACCTTTTTTTTCCTTTGGTGAAAATATACATAGCCAAAGATACACCATTTCAAAAATTTCTACATGTACAATTCAGTGACATCAAAGAATGTACATTCTTTTCAAGTATATGTGGTATATTCGCCAGCATAGAAAATTCAATACGCATTTTGAAATTACCCATGGGTAAAAAGAGGAAATTTCAAGGGAAAATAGAAAATATTTTCAACTGAAGTAAAATGAAAACACAACATAACAGAATTTGTGAGGTGCCACTAAAGAAATACTTAGGGGGAAATTTGTAACAAACAGTGCTAATATTAGAAAAAGTAAGTCTCAAGTCAATGATGTTAATTACAAGAATAAGAGGAAATTAAACTCAGAGTAAGAAGAAGAAGAAAACAATCATAGTGAAAATCAGTGAAGTAGAAATCAGAAACATAGTAGAGAAAAATCAATGAAATCAAAAGCTGGTTCTTTCAGAAGACCAATAATACTGATAAACTTCTAGCTAAAATGATCAATAAAAAAGAGAAAGCACAAATTACCAATATCAGGAACGAGAGAGGTAACATCACTACAAATTCTACAGATACTAGAAGAATAATAAGGCAATATTAAGAACAATTTTATGCTGATAAATTCAACAATTTAGATGAAATGGAAAAAACTCCTTGAAAGACAAATTTCCAAAGCTCTCTAAAAAAGGAATGTTGCTCCGATTGTTGTTAGGTTCTGTCAGTTTGAACTCATAGCGACCCTATGTTCAACAGAATGAAACACTGCCTGGCCTGCGACATCCTCACAATCTTTGCTATGTGGGAGCCTATCATTGCAGCCACTATGTCAATACATCTCATTGAAGGTCTTCCTTTTTTTCGATGACCCTCTACTTTACCAAGCATGATGTCCTTCTCCAGGAACTGGTCACTCCTAATAATATGTCCAAAGTAAGTGGGACGAAGTCTTGCCACTCTCACTTCTAAGGAGCACTCTGGGTGTACTTCTTCTAAGATAGATTTGTTCCTTCTTCTGGCAGTCCATGGTATATCCAATATTCTTCGCCAACACCATAATTCAAAGGCATCAATTCTTCTTTGGTCTGCCTTATTCATTGTCAAGCTTTCACATGCATAGGAGGTGACTGAAAATACCATGGCTTGGGTCAGACACACCTTAGTCCTCAAAGTGGTATCTTTGCTTTTTAACACTTTAAAGGGTCTTTTGCAGCAGATTTGCCCAATGCAACATGTTGTTTGATTTCTTGACCGCTGCTTCAATGGGCATTGATTGTGGATCCAAGTAAAATGAAATCCTTGACAATTTTAATCTCTTCTCCATTTATCATGATGTTGCTTTTTGGTCCAGTTGTGAGGATATTTTGTTTTATGTTGAGCTGTAGTCCACACTGAAGGCTGTAGTCTTTGATCTTCATCAGTAAGTAATTCAAGTCTTCTTCACTTTCAGCAAGCAAGGTTGTGTCATTTGCAGGTTGTTAATGAGTCCTTCTCCAGTCCTGATACTGCCTTCCTCTTCATATAGTCCAGCTTCTTGGATTATTTGCTCAGCATACAAATTGAGTAAGTATGGTGAAAGGATACAACCCTGACGCACACCTTTTCTGACTTTAAACCACGCAGTATCCCCTTGTTCTATTTAAATCACACAGTATCCCCTTGTTCTATTTCAACAACTGCCTCTTAGTCTACGTACAGGTTCCGCATGAGCACAATTAAGCATTCTGGAATTCTCATTCGTCGCAATGTTATCCATAATTTGTTATGATCCACACAGCCGAATGCCCTTGCAGAGGCAATAAAACACAGGTAAACATCTTTCTGGTATTCTCTGCTTTCAGCCAAGATTAATCTGACATTAGCAATGATATCCCTCATTCCACTTCCTCTTCTCAATCCAGCTTGAACTTCTGTCAGTTTCCTGTTTATGTACTGTTGCAACCGTTTCTGAATTATCTTCAGCAAAATTTTACTTGTGTGTGATATTATTCAATAATTTCCACATTCTTTTGCATTGAGTTTCTTTGGAATGGGCACAGACATGGATCTCTTGCAGTTCTAGTTGGCCAGGTAGCTGTCTTCCAAATTTATTGGCATAGAAAAGTAAGCACTTGCAGCATTGCATCCATTTGTTGAAACATCTCAACTGGTACTCCGTCAGTTCCTGGACCCTTGTTTTTTGACAATGCCTTCAGTGCAGCTTGGATTTCTTCCTTCAATACCATCAGTCCTTGATCATACACTACCTCCTGAAATGGTTGATCACTGACCGAAGTCTCATCATCTGGCACTATATCAGATAGTATTCAGCTGCTATTCATAAGGTTTTCACTGGCCAATTTTTTTTTTTAGAAGTAGATCGTCAGGTCCTCTTCCTAGTCTGTCTGAGTATGGAAGCTCTACTGAAATCTGTCCACCATAAGTGACCTTGCTGGTATTTGAAATACCAGTGGCATCACTTCCAGCATCACAACAACCAGCAAGCCACCACAGTATGGCAAACTGACAGACAAGTGGTGGAAAAAAAGAAATAGATAACATAAATAGACTTATATCTATTAAAAGAAATTGATTCTGTAGTTAAAATCTTTCCTACAAAGAAAATTCCATGTCTGAAGGCTTCACTGGTAAATTCTACCACACATTTAAGGAAAAAATAATACCAATTCTACAAAAATACTTACCAAATTTAAAGACCAGAGAATACTTCCCAAATCATCCTATGAGGCTGGCATTATCCTGATACCAAAACTGGACAAAAAAAAAAAAATTACAAACAACCCTCATGAACACAGATGCAAAAATTATAAACAATATTTTAGCAAATTAAATCCATCCTTACCTTAAAAGGATACTACATTATGACCCAGTGAGGTTTATCCTAAGAATATGGGATTGTTTTAACATTCAAAACTCAATCAATGCAATTCATCATGTTAACAAATTAAAAACAAAAATCCATATAATCAATATGGGTATATATCAATAGACAGAAAAAAAATTGACAAAAATCCAACATCCATTCCTGATTTAAAAAAAAAAAAACCAACTCTAAGCAAAGTAGGAATAGAAGGGAATTACCACAAGGTTATAAAGATCATCTATATTTAACGGTGAAAGACTGAATGATTTCCTCCTAAAATCAAGGATGTCTACTCTTCCCACTTATATTCAACATGACATTGGAGGTTCTAGCCAGCACAAACAGGAAAGAAAAAAAAAAAAGGCATCTACCTTGCAAAGGAAGAAATAAGTGTTTATCTTCACAGAGAACATGGTCACTTACATAGAAAATCCTGTATTTACAAAAAAAGCTACTAGAATTATTAAGTGAGTTTAGCAAGATTTCAGGATATAAGCCCAATATAAAAAAGTCAATTGTACTTCTAGATACTGTCAAGGAACAATTGGAAACTGAGATTTAAAAAAAGTTACCAATTGGACCGCCAGTTTCCTCTCCGGCAAGTCATCACTCCCACCCACACAACAAGAAAAAAGACTCATCACCTGTGATAGGAGGTTGATACAACCTTGCACGCCAAAAATGAAGATGACTTAAAGCACTTCCTAATGAAGGTAAAAGACTGCAGCCCTCAGTATGGATTATACCTGAATATTAAAAAAACAAAAATTATCCCAACTAGGCCCATAAACAACATCATGATAAATGGTGAAGAAATCGAAGTTGTCAAGGATTTCATTCTATTTGGATCAACAATCAATGCTCATGGAAGCAACAGTCAAAAAATTAAACGATGTATTGTACTGGACAAATCTGCTGCAAAAGCAAAACCAGACCCACTGCTGTCAAATCAATTCTGACTCACAGCGACCCTATAAGACAGAGTAGAACTGCCCTATAGGGTTTCCAAGACTGTAAATCTTTACAGAAGCAGACTGCCACACCTTTCTTCTAAATTCAGGCCCTGAGTTGCAATATTGAAGGATTCTACTGGGAAAATATTAATGACGCAGGAAGCATCAAAAGAAAATAGAAGAAATACACATTCAGTGTACCAAAAAGAATTGGTTGACATTCAACCATTTCAGGAGGTAGCATATAATCCAGAACCGATGGTATTAAAGGAAGAAGTTCAAGCTGCACTGAAGGCACTGGCGAAAAACAAGGCTGCAGGAACTGACAGAATACAGAATACCAACTGAGATGTTGGAATTAATTCTATTCTCCTCTCCTACCTTTGCTGCTTGTAGTTTATAGTATCATCAGCCTACCTCATGTATGTATCTGTCTCACAGAATCACATAAAGTCAGAACTGAAACTTGAAAAAGACTGGCAGTCCAAGGAGTAATTTGGTAACTTCAACCTTCCCCTCATCTTGATCAACCTTTACCAAAATCATCCCAAATAAACATACTATCTAAAAACTGTGTGCTGACAATGAAGCCGTGAAACATCGTATAACATGGTGGAAGCTGGAACTTATTATGCTGAGTGAATTTAGTCAGTCACAGAAGGACAAATACTGTATAAGACCACCATTGTAAGAACTCAAGAAAAGGTTTAAACACAGAAGAAAACATTCTGTGATGGTTATGAGGGTGGGGAGGGAGGGTGAGGGTTATTTACT